GTACCGCAGGCCCGGCTCCAGCTTAAACCCCTGTACCAGCCTCTGCCTGGGTTTCAACACTCGGCTTAAACACCCCTGAGACCTCGCTGTGCCCCCACACCCTTTGCTCTGCAGGGCAGTGCCCAGGGCTGGATTAGTCCCCCCCCGCCCCAGCCAGGAGCCTGCAGGACCCTCAGTGGGGTCTCTCCCATCCCCTACAAGGCATCTATGATGCTCCCTCCCTCTTCCTCTGCTTGAGGGGTCCCTGGGGGAGGCTGAGGATGGAGACCTCCAGCTCTGGTCCCCTTTGCCAGGCTCTGCCTCCTCACCGCCCTCCTGTGCTGCCGCCTCTTTTGCAAGAGCTGCTCCGTGCCCGGCTGCGGGCAGCAGCCCTGAAGGAGACGAGCAGAGCCGGGCGCGAGGTCTCCTGCTGTTCCACAGCCCCCGGCCAAGTGTTCCCAGGGTTTTCCTAGGCAAAGGCCAAGCAGGGATGCACCAATTCCCGATCCAGAATACACAGGGTGAGGAACAGAGGCAGAGTGCAAGTCACTGGGAGGTGCCTGCTGGAAGGGCGCAGTCCCCACCGCAGGATAAAGTCACCACAAAGGCCTCGCAGAAAGGAAGCAGCCACTCAGAAACCCATCACTGACTGCTTCTAAACCACTTAACTGGCAAAAGAAACACATCCTTCCTCTAAGCAGGTCTGTACCTGGAGTCATAAAGAGAACATTTACAAGCTGCTGTCGAATCCCCAGCACTCGAGTGTTATTTTGGGCCAGATGGATATGCTTGGTGTTTGTGCAAGACCCTAAAGCTGCAGAAGCCTCACAAACGGGGCTCAGAGCCAGCGGAGCCTTGCTGAAGGTGCCGAGGGCCCGGCCCCACCGTCCCTCACTGCGGCAGCGGGAGGTGGGAGAGCACGAAGGAAGCGCCTGTGCCCGTGCCACGGGGACCCGGAGCTCTGGGAGCCTCTCTCAGCTGCTCTCCGGGGCAGTGGGTGCCAAGAACACGCTGCGGATTTACAGAGGGAGAGCAGGGATTGCTCCGGGATGTGACCCAGGACGGGGTGTGACAGACACAGCCGCAGCAACAGGGTCCCTGAGGATGCAACCGTGTCCTCCCCAACGCCAGGCAGTGTCACCGGCACCCCCGGACCAGGCTCCAGCCCAGGTTTAAGGGAGGGAAACACCACCAGCCCCGCAGGAAGGTGCCCATCACCTTGTCCTGGCAAGGACACTGGAGTGCAGCAGCAGCTGAATCCCAGCACGATGCTCAGGACCCCCCATGGCCCAGACTACCCAGGAGCCATGCTGTGAGCTGCATCCACACCCCCCCAGCCTGCTCCCATCGGGAAAGGGAAGCTCCCTGCAAGCCTCCATAACTGCCTGCAGCATCTTCCCTTTCCCTTTGAGGGCCCCTCCGGAGCTGCCTCTGCCCCGGCCGGTGCAGCCAGTCCTGCCAAGCAGCACGGATCCCTACGGTTATGGTACTGCATGTGAGAGACGCCAGAGGAAGGAAAGGGAGCAGGGATGAGCCAAAGGAAGCAGAGAAGCACCCGAGCCTCAGGACCACGGCCTCTGTGCTGCAGGAGACCCCCCAGCAGGTTTGGGTTCCCAGGGCTGGTGTTGAAGGAGCCGGTTCAGCTCTGCAAAGACTCTTCAATTCTTCACTCAAGCTCATAACATCAGAGCAAGGAGCAGGCCCCGAGCTGTGCTCGTGCCAGAGCTGCCCTGGCAAAGGCAGCAGGAGAAACCCAACACGCTCAGCCCCTTGCTACGAGGGCACTTCCCCCCCCCGCTCCCTCCTCCTACCTTTGCTTCCCAACACAAAGCTACTTCTTTGGCAGAGCAAATCTGCCTCCCTTCCAAGCAGCCAGATGTAAGTAAGTAGGTCAGACAAGGACCAGGGCGCCTCGACAACAGCACTTTGAAGGGAAGCAAAGCGGGAAGCAAGCCCTGACCTGGAACATGCCCCCATCACCTCGGTGCTGGGGCAGGGGGCCGGCAATGCCTCACCTCGCTCAGCAAGAGCAGAGGATGCCAGAGCAGCAGCGTGGCACCGTGCACAGAGATACTGGAGACAGGGTCTAGCACCTTGCAGCCACAGCAGCCAAAGGCTTTGCAGCCTCACATGGTGCAGGCCTACTTTTAGTGGCAAAAGCTCTCCCAAACAGACCCAAACCCCTGGTAAAGGTGGCACCGGTCCCCTCTGTCCGGGCACTCCCCAGGCTTGGGATGGCACTGGCTCCTGTTTGGTCGCAGCAGGATGAAGCCAAAGCCCTCCCTCAGCCCTCACGGCACAAAGAGGGGTCTGTGCTCCCGGCCCCGGAGCAGCCATGGGAAAACACGCTCTGCCTTTGCATTCCAGCAGCAAAGCGTGGCTGTGAGAGGGAGCGCGGTGGGAGACGGGACGGCTCCGGGGGGGGCTCAGCAGTGCCGAAACCCCTCAGGGCCAGGATGCACTGGATCCGCTGAGGCTGAGGCAGGCAGGAGCGAAGGAAGGCAGGCTGTGAGAAGCAGAAGACACGCTCACCAGGCAGCGCTGCCCCGCAGAGCACGGCGGAGCTGGAGCCGGGTGGATTCACACCTCATGGGCACCCCGAGCCCAGCTCAGCTCCCCTCTGGCAGCCGCTGCACAGCAGGGATCAGGCCAGGCCGGAGCTACCCGGGCGGATGCTGCCCGCAGCCAAGTCTGCCAAAGGTAAACCGAGGCCGATGTGGGATGGCGGCAGCGCTCCAAGGCTCGGCGCGGCGCACGCAGGCTGCGGTTCGCTGCAATGACTTCCATGCAAAACCTCTGCCTCCACCTGGCCTGAGGACGCTGCTGCACCGGCTCCTCGCTGCCTTCCCAAGCACCACTTTCCGCCTGGATGGTGGGGATGGGATAACCCGGAGCAGGGCAGTCATGAGGCCTTCAGAGCCGCACGTCCATCAGCTGAGGGTCAGGAGGCAGCCGGCGTCTCCTCCCTCTGCATCCCACCCCCAAATGCTGCCCAAGTGCAAGAAGGTCAGAGGGGAGACCGAGCAAGGGGGTAAATGGAGCAGAGCCGTGGTTAAGAGCCATGGGGATTCGAGGTTAACCCCCCCACACCCCAAAAATCAGTCTCTGAGCAGTGCTTGTTAAATAAGTGGGTTGAGAGTGCCCCAAACCAACCCTGGTCTCCCCCAGCTCTGGGCTCGCTGTGATGGGGCAACCCCCAAAACCAGCATCACCCCAAGAGGAGCAGACCCCGAGGAGGGACCACTCCTCCACGCACATGGATACAACCCCGCCGCTGGGCTCACCCCTGTGCAGCACATGTCCCCAACAGCCTGAACCCAGGCACATCCCAACCGAGTGCATCGAGGCACGCAGGGAACCCCACAAACAGGGAGCTGGGACGGGCAGGAGGCAGCTCTGCAAGCGGGCACTCAGACAGGGCTGAGCAGCATCAATTCTGCTGAGTCCTTGCAGGGGCAAAGGGGGCAAGCCAGAGCTCTGCCTCCATCCCAGAGGAGCCCCGGCAAACAACCAGTTCCTCACTTCCTTCGCTTACAACCAGCGCTCTGGAGGGCTCCGAAGCGAACCCGCAGCACGCCCGCGATCCCGAGGGCCGTGGTGCTGCCCCTGGCCCGGCTGCAGCGCTGCTTCCGCGGGTGGGGAGCGCCGGGAGGTCGCGGCCGTGTTTACCCGCAGCAGCGCCCGGCGCCGGCCTCCACCGGGGCACCCGCTGCCCGCCCACCGGGGCTCCACGCTCGGCTCTGCTCAGGACGCCAGCAGGGACCGGACCGGACCGGGGATCCCGGTGCTGGGTCCCTGACCCCGAGGGCCCCGCGTCCCCCTGGCCCAACCGGACACCGGGAGGAGCGCAGCGCAGAGCCGGAGCCCGGCTGGTGCGGAGAGAACGGGGGAACCGGGAGCAGCGGGACCGGGGAGGGGGGGGGATCCCCTCAGAAGCCCCCCGCCGCCGCCATCACCGCTCCAGCGCAGCCGCTCCCACCGGTGGGAGCCCCCCCCTCCGGGCCCCGGTGCGATCGTGTCTGCGGGCCCGGCTTCCCCCTCACGTTCACCCCCGAGGATCCCCCCGCCGCTCCCCGCTCTCACCGGCCGCCCGCGGCCTCCTCCCGCCGCACCCGGAAACGCGGCCCCGCGACTCCGTCCGGCCTCCGACAGACAAAATGGCGGCCCCCGCCGCTCCTGCGCCGCCCCGGGCCGGATGTGGGCGGGGAGCAGCGGGGCCGCGCCGCCATGATGGGGAGGTCAAGGGCGGGAAGGGCGCTCGGCGGGGCTGCCATATTGGGAAGGTCAACGGTGCGGCGGGAGGGCCTCGGGGAGAGCGGCGGCACCGGGAGGGCTCCGCGCTCCGGGACGAGCCGCGGCAGACCGGAGGTGCCCCGGCAGAGCGGGGGTTACGGCAGCCAGCTCCTCCCTCCCGCCGTATAGAGCCGGCCGCATGAGCCCGCTGTGGCGGCCATCTTGAAGAGGTCCTTTCCCCCCCCTCGCCGCCATCTTGAGGAGGTCAAACCCTCAAAGCCACCGGCATGACGTCACCGGGCAGAGCTATGACGTCGCTCCCCAGCCAATGACATCATCAGACAGGGGCCGGGACAGACGTTTATTGGGGCTCTGCACCCCCCCCCACCCCCCCATTGTTGGGTTTGTTTTTTTTTTTTCCTTTTTTCCTCCTTTTTCTTAAAAAATAAATGTACAATTCCCGACGGCGGCTCCGTACAAAATATACACGTCTGGGGGGGAGGGGCGGGGGGGCACGTACAAAAATAGAGGGGGGGGGAAGGAGTCCGGGGGTGGGGGGGTCCCTGCACCCCGGTCAATCAATGGAGGGGGTCAATGGGGTGCCAAGGGGACACTGGGGGGAGAGATGAGCCCGGGGGTCCCGTCCCCCCCCCCCCATCATTGTGCTGAGGGTGGGGGCAGCGCCCGGCTGTGCCCCTCACCCTGCGTCAGGCCAAAGTGCGTCAGTGCTGGGGGGCACCGGGCCCCCCGGGGAGGAGGAAGGGGGTCCCGGTCCCGGTGCCGGTCCCGGTGCCGGTCCCTCACTGTCCGCCCGGCTCCAGCTTGAAGGAGAGCTCGAAGAGCAGGTTCTGGTTGTCGATGACGCGGAGCTGCCGCACGTACGCCTTGGTCTGCAGCTGGCTCGGGGATGCCTCCAGCTCCAGGCCTGGGGGGGGAATGGGGCATGGGGGGGGGACGGGGGACGGGGATGGAGGGAGAGGAGCGAAGGGATGGGGATGAAAGGGGATGGAGGGATGTGGGGATGGGGGTGCATGAAGGGCATGAGGGGAGGAGGATGTGAGGAGGGGGATGAAGGGATGGGGATGAAGGGATGCAGGGATATGGGGATACAGGGATGGGAATGAAGGGATGTGGGGATAGGGGGATGAAAGGATGGGAATGAAGGGATGTGGGGATATGGGAATGAAGGGATGCAGGAATATGGGGATGAAGGGATGGGGATGAAGGGATGCAGGGATATGGGGATACAGGGATGGAAATGAAGGGATGTGGGGATATGGGAATGCAGGGATTGGAAGAAAGGGATGCAGGGATATGGGAATACAGGGGTGGGAATGAAGGGATGTGGGGAGATGAGGATTCAGGGATAGAAGGAAGTGGAATTGCAGATGCAGGGACGTTGGGACAGGAGTGAAGGGATACAGGGTTGAAGGCACGGGAACAAAGTGATACAAGGGGTGGAGGCGTGGAGGAAGGGGACCGGGATGGGAACACAGGGATGGGGGAGATGCGGGGGATAGAGATGTGGGGATAGAGGGATGGGAATGAAGTGATGCAGGGATGCGGGGACAGGGATGCAGGGATGAAGGGATGGAGATGCAGGGAGGGGGATGCAGGGATGAAGGGATGCAGGGATGAAGGGATGGAGATGCAGGGAGGGGGATGCAGGGATGAAGGGATGCAGGGATGTGGGGACAGGGATGCAGGCATGAAGGGATGCAGGGACGAAGGGATGCAGGGATGAAGGGATGCAGGGATGAAGGGATGCAGGGATGTGGGGACAGGGATGCAGGCATGAAGGGATGGAGATGCAGGGAGGGGGATGCAGGGATGAAGGGATGCAGGGATGTGGGGACAGGGATGCAGGCATGAAGGGATGGAGATGCAGGGAGGGGGATGCAGGGATGAAGGGATGCAGGGATGAAGGGATGCAGGGATGAGCTGACGCGGGTGCAGACACGTCCCCATCCCAGAGCCAGCAGCAGGGATGTGGGGCCATGCCCTTACCCCCCCCCACCCCATACTCACAGAGCGGGCGGCTCCGGTACTTCCGGATGGTTCTCACTTTCTCAGCGATGCAGTGCTGGGCACAGAGCACCCCCGGTGAGACCCCAGCACCCCCTGGACCATTCAACCCTGCCCTGGGGCATCCCCATCACCAGGGACCCATATTCTGCACCCCAGGGGCCCTTCACACCCCCCCAATTCCCATCCTCTCAATGGGGTTCTCCATCCCCAGCTTCACCCCAGGGACCCCCCCTCCAAAGGGCACCCACCAGTTTCTCCACGTTGACCAAGCCATCCAGGAGGGTTTTGCTGCCTTCATGCAGGAAGGTGAGATCTGGGGGTGAGCAGAGAGGGGTGAGGGGAGGGGGGGGGCAATGGGGCAAGCACTGGGACCGCAGCCCCTCCGGGCACAGCCTGTCCCCCCCCCCCCCTCACCTTTGAGGATGAGCGGCACGAAGGGGATGAGGGGGGGCTTCATCTTGGCCAGCACCTCCCGGTACGTCTTGTGGTTCCTGCAGGGGTCCTGGGGTGGGGGGGGAACAAGGGGAGCAGCTCCCTAGGGGTGCCAGCACCCTGGTCCCCCACCGCACTGGCACCAGTGGGCATGGGGCCTGGGAACGGATGCTGTGGGACCATCCCCTGGGGGGCTGAACACCCCCCCACACACACACACCCCACACACACCCCATAGCCCTTCTCACCGTCAGGTTCTCGAACTTCCGAAACAGGTTCTTGAATTTCCCTGGGAGCTTCTGCAAGACAAGGGGGGGGGGGGGGGGGGGGGGGAATGAGCATCCAGAGGGGCCCAGGAGCATCCAGAGGGGCCCAGGAGCCTCCAGAGGGGTGGCCAGGAGCATCCATAGGGGCCTAGGAGCATTCAGAGGGGCCCAGGAGCATCCTTAGGGGTGGCCAGGAGCATGCAGAGGGGCCCAGGAGCATTCAGAGGGGCCCAGGAGCATCCATAGGGGCGGCCAGGAGCATCCATAGGGGCCCAGGAGCATTCAGAGGGGCCCAGGAGCATCCAAGAGGTCCCAGAAGCACCAAAAGGGGTCCCAGGAGCACCCAAAGGGGTCCCAGGAACACCCAAAGGAGTCCCAGAAACACCAAAAGGGGTCCCAAGAGCACCCAAAGAGATCCCAGGAGCATGCGAGGAGGCCCAGGGGCACCCATGGGGGTTCCAGGAGCACCCAGGGGGTCCCAGGCGCACCCCACATCTTTACCTCCCAGGTGAGGCGCAGGCGGCTGATGGCAGCGTTGTTGAGGCCGATGACGATGGCGTAGAAGGACAGCATGTCCTGGTTCTGCTTGCATCTGATGGGGAAGGGGAGGGAGGGGGGCAGAGGGTGAGGCGCAGATGGGGGATGAACCCCCCCCCCATCCCCATACTCACATGGCAGCGATCTTGATGAGCTTCTTGAGGAGGTGGGCGCGCTTGCCCAGGGACTCGCAGAGCAGCAGCTCGGTGCCCACCCAGTGCTGCACCTCGCTGCAGCGCTGCAGCAGCAGCTCCAGGTTGGCCGTTTCCCGGCGGCCCCGTTCGCCGTGGAACACGTAATCCACAAACTCCAGCA